GCCAGTAAATGGTAAGAAAACGTTTAGAAAACGATCCGTAAACGGTGAAAAAACGATTTATTTAAGATCCTAAAACGTTACGAGTTTTAGGTTCTGAAAACGGTCCGTTTAGGAACTAAAAACGGTCCGTTTACGGCACGTTAACTTACCGTTAACGACCAGTTAACGGGCCGTTAACGGTGCCGTTTTCTTGGACCTGGGTTTATTTAGAGCGTCTGGTTTTCGACGATTAGGACCACCGGTATTTCGTATGTTTATGTCGATACGTGTATTGAAAACGCTTCCGTCGCACACGAAAGTTTGTAATAAATGTCGGCAGTCATATGCGTATTGGAAAAGATATAATCCGGAATTTACAAATATTTTCGATCGGATCGAAGAAGAGTTTGTTGAAAATGGTGAATCAGAGGATGATCAGGTAAGTGAAACATTGATGATTATTTCTGTGACGTCGTATACAGCAACCTGTTTTATTGCTGTTTCCAGATAGAAGATATGGATACCAATGTTTGCTCTGCGGTAAGAAATTCATCAGACAAAGAATGCCAAACTATAGTACAGGCTGCTGCAGACAAAGAATGTCAAACTATTGAACAGGATGATGGAATGCCGAGTGTTACGTTGCCATTTAATTGTACAGTTTGCTCTCATAAGTAAGTAAATGGTCTGAACTAACTGACCGCAACAACATCATTAATTTTGAATATACTGGATTTCGTTGTTTCTAGAACGTGTTGTATTTGTCGGGCTCATATTGATGGTTCGTCAAAGACCGTAGCACTTGAAGATCGAAAAATGTTATGATACGTAAAGGCTCAAGGTGTTGTGGTGAACATTTAGAGGATGGTCGTTTAATACTCGATGCAATAAATATAGTCAAGCCACACAAGATCGAAAGTACCATATTTAAGACGGGGGATGTTCAATTGTTAATAAATACGTCCCAAATGCTTTACAATAAAAAAAAACGTTTAGATTTCGATGATTGTAATGCGATTTCTAATGATGAGTATTATACCTTGACGAGCTTAAACAAAGCACAATTTGATAATTTAATAAAAGAGATAGCAGTTTCACCAATTCGTAATACGTCAATTAGATCGATACGCACAGCGGTGGCCTGTTTATTATGTAAATTACGGTTGGGTTTATCTAATACAGTTCTGGGTTTATTATTCGAATTACCAGATAAACGAGCTGTATCTCGAGTTATTGAAAGTGCTCGTAAAGCACTATTGGAAAGTTTTGTTCCCGATCACCTTGGATTTTCTCATATTAATCGTCGTCAGATAATAGATAATCACACAACAACAATAGCACGTGAACTTATGGGTGGAAGAAATGACACACTTGTGCTGATTGTCGATGGAACATACATTTATATACAAGTAAATGAAAAGGTTTCTTAATTTTGTTTTTCAACCTTATTTTAATTATAGAAAAGCCGAAACAACCAGTTCCAGAGAAAAACATTTAACCTCTACAAAAAGAGATCTCTGTTAAAACCAATGATGATAGTTACGACCAGTGGATACATTGTTGCCTGCATCGGTCCTTTCTTTTCGGACTATTCAAACAACGATGCGGCAATGATGAAAGACATTTTATTAAAAAATACGGACAACATATTGAAATTGATTGAACAAGTACTTAACATATAAATTAATGCAACATATCTTGTTTAATTGCTAAAGCCTTTTATATTTAGAATGATGTATTTGTTGTAGACCGAGGTTTCAGGGATAGTTTAGGAGTGATGCATGCTTTAGGCTTGGATGTGGCAATGCCACCATTTTTAGACGGTCAAAAACAATTTTCAACATCAAGTGCGAACAAATCACGATGTATAACGAAAGTACGATGGGTGGTAGAGGCTGAAAATGGACGATTAAAAAATTACGGCTTCTTTAAACAGTACAAAATTCGTCGCTAGGGTTTGTCGAAGATTATCTTTCGATAGTCTGTGCTTTGATAAACTGCTATAGAGAACCAATTGCAACGTCGAAACCTGGAGATGTTGATGTTAGTGGAATAATGCTGTCACTTCTCAACCAAAAAAATGAAGTCCATGCGGTAATAACTACCTACCATTACTTCACTACCTAGAATTGTAAGCTTTTTAGGTGATACAACAACGCAATTTGTCTCGAACTTCTCAATGGGAAAATATTGATGCAGCGTCACTCTTTTCGACATTCCCGTTGTTATCCCAAGAAGAGATAGGAGATATAACTTTAGGTAACACATCACAAAAGTTCTCTTATTCCACAAAGCCTTATGTGCTATTTGACTATTCTAGGGGTATTTCAGTTGAGGCGTGCAAGATCGTATGCCGAAGAGCATTGTTCTTCAACCAAACTAACCGAACCGGTTACATATCTTATCCAAAAGTGCAAAACAATCGCAAACATGATAAGAGTAACAACACAATCAGCACACGCCACAGGGAAATCTTACCACGCAGTCATACAATTTAACAAAGACGAGATCACTGGCTGGTATTGCGAATGCCCAATAGGAAGCCGTATTCTTGGATGCTGCAGTCATGTTGCTTCTGCCATTTGGTTCTTAAGCTACGAGCGTTGGCAGACCAAACCGCGCGTCATGCCCTCCGGCGATTATGCCCAACTATTTACAGACAGTATTCAAGTTTCAGACTTTTGTGATTCAACCGATGATGAAGATGTAAATACTCGCTATTCTTTAAAATAAAAACACTTTGACCCACATGACCTTAACACGACAATATAAGCGGTAAACGCTGTTGACCTATGGATTTATGGAGATCGGGCCTAGTATCTCTAGTGTTAGGACACCAACGCCCCATTTGTTTCCAATATTATATATATCATTTTGTAGCTCGTGAAATTCTCTATCGAATGATATATAAAGTGGCGTGGTTAACGATAAACTGGTTGGACAATATAAGCGATAAACGCTGTTAACCTATGGATTTATGGAGGTGGGGCCTAGTATTTCTAGTGTTAGGACACCAACGCCCCGTTTGTTTCCAATATTATATATATCATTTTGTAGCTCGTGAAATTCTGTATCGAATGATGTGCAGTGGTTGAGGTTTGCTTTGGGCAAAGAGAAGAAATGGGGAAAATATTCTAAATAAAATTCATTTACGGGGTGAACAGTTTGGATGCGGAATTTTTTCCAGGGGTGCTGAAAATGGGTTTTTTGAGATGCTAGTTTTAATCACGAAGAAAAACTACATCAGACTTGTGAATATGAGCTTGATCTGAGAGGGGGCCGATTTTGCCTCTTATCGACCCCCGTCCTTTGTCTCCATTTTTCGCTGTAGTCAAAGCAACTCCAAATTACGTATGAAATTTATTCTAACTAGACAACATACTCGGAACTGTATATCCTTATTTTTTCGAATTTTCATGCATAAACGAACATTACTCGTAACTGTTAAAAAACATGAGCTAATGTCGAATAATTTCTCTGTAAATTGCCTTCATTTATTTGAATTTCGTTGGTATTAGATGTAAATCGAGTAAATATTGATTAGATTGGGTATGCTCTCAAAATATCATTTCTAATGATTGATACAAAAAAACCTCAATATCATTGAATTTTGATGTTAGGTAATATTTCATTTAATAAAAGGGCAAAAGTTGGAAAGTTGTAATGAATTCAACACATCTTGACGTGCCGGTGATGGAAAATGCGATTAATCACATAGTTCAAATAAAAGATTAAACACAGTAACTATTTATACAAATCTGGTAACGTTTGTACTTTTTGTGAAAATTGACGTTAATATCTTACGAAGTGTATAATTCTAGTTCTGTGACTTAGTGTCCAGCATTGCCTAACTTTATCTTTCAAATTGCAATATATTTATTCTACGAAGTGTAAATAAAAATATCTTTGTTCATTCATAACATATTTCTATATACTAGAACACAGAAACAGAACCCCATTCAATACAAAATGGAAGGCACGAAGAGAAAAAAAACACAAATTCATTTATACATGAAAAGGATCTATTTACGAACAACCAGAAAAGAAAATAATAAATGATGCACACATTCGAAATTGAGATTAACTTTAAACAGTTGAAATACGAAAAAAGTAGAATGTAAACAGTGGGATACGAATGAAATTGCAGTTAAAATTAAAAAGAAAACAGACAGTAAAATAATACAAAGAGAGTGACAGATAGAGTTCATTCCGGGGTTTGATTTTGTGTTGAATCTAAATAAGATGGATCATCTAATGTTTGCGAAAGTGGTTTGGTTGATTTCAAATGTTTTAACCATTCTTGTAAATTATCTTTAACATGTGGATGATGACCAAATGTTTTACGAGATAATTTAAATGTACGTTGAGATAAATACCAATGACCTTGGGTTTTCCAAAATATTTGAAATAAATGTTCTAAAGCAAATAAAATAGATGAGAATAAAAGTAGAAGTAATTTTAACAGAAAGTGAAACCAAGTGTATGTGTGTGCGAAACCAAGAAGAAATATTACACTCCATGGTCTTTCATTGTAGGAACAATAGAAAAAGAAGACAAAAAATGTGCATGTTTACTTTTCGCCCAGAGAGGTATTCTTGATTCATCTTCTTCTTCATTGTCGGAATCTTGATCACTTCTAACATCGTCTAAACCATAATCTCCATTATCATCTCCATCAGCCGTATCACCTTCATCAAATGTGAGGGTTTGATCATTATTCTCATGTGTCGGTAAGATTGTCCAGTCATTTTGATCACCAGCACCCATTTCAAGTGTCATTGTAGTTGATGATGGAAGAGTCGTTTCATTGAAAACATGTGACTTTGATCCAATGACAAATGTACTATCTTCTTGTTTACCATGAGGATGATTGAACTGTTGTGGATTATTGATCATTTTCTTCGCCACATTTGCAGGTGTTTTTGTATTTTTGTTCTTCTTTGATGCTGCGGCTGCTTGATAAGTGGTATCAAAATTTAAACCAGAATTATTGAGTTTATACGGTGTTTTTGTATACGTAGCACCAGCAATAGCACCGCCGGTGCCGGTTGTTGTATCATTCATCGAGCCATTTAATGTTGAATTATTATGCTGGGCGTATTTAACTTGTTGTTTCACTGTTTTTGGTTGAGTGACGGTATTAGTTGCTGCTTGTAAATTATCTGATGATGTTCGCAACTGTTTCTTTTGTTCTTTGTCTTGCTGAATTTGTTTTCCACGTTGTAAAACTTCTTCACGTTTTTTTGATTGTTCATGTAATTTTTCTACTTTACGTTTACGTTCTTCTAACTTTCGCTCTTCTACAGCACGTGCAATGTTTTCCTTTTCTTCTTGACTAAGACGCTGTAAATTTTGTTTTGTCTGATATAAACGTGAGCCCGGACGTTGTTGTGGGTGATCATTTGATGTACGAAACTATAAACAGACAAGCAAAAGTGAATTTTAATTAGCGCTTTCTGTGCTTACAGGAATAGAAACCTAACAAATAAGGAAATATTTGTTTAAAAGATCTACCTTATGTAGGCAAGGATGTTCCTAAAAGACGTACGATGAAAGTAACGCTATTTTCCCTCTTTTATTGTTAAGTAGAACGCAAAATATACATCGTCTACATAGTTTTGCGATTGAGAACGGAAGATGACATGTTTATCGCACGTCCTTTAAGAACATCCTCGGACATTGCTCACATCTGATTTGAACAGAACAAAATAGATGTAAACTCAATCAGAGGACCGAAAACAAAAGAAGATATTTGTCACAGATGCCACCGAGCAAACGGCATGCCGAAGAGATATATCCCTCTGTGTTGGATTTTTAATCTCTATCTTGAATTGAAACGGTTCAGGTATACTACATAAAAATATAGCTCTTTAAAATGCATTAAAACCTTACTCATCCTGCCATTGGTAAAAAGACATACTGTCCGCAAAAAGTATAACATACGTTGAAACGATCACTACAAACCTTAGCTTTAATGCCTGCGGTACCAGCTGCGGCTCCTGAAACTCGTTTTCCAGCTGACCATTTTGATGATAGTTTCTAAGAAAAAAGAAGAGTAGACTATTTATCATTGTTAAAAATTGGTTGTTACTTACTGCAAATTTCAAGGGTTTATGGTTATTTGTTTGTTTTGATGTGCTTGTATTATTTATTGTATCATTTCCTCCATCGATTGATTGCGCTGATCGTTTCTCTTCTAATTTGTTTCTCTTCGCTTTCTTTTTTGGTACATATTGCTGTTGTTGTTGAATTTCCTCCTGTGTTGCATCTATATCGTCGTTTACGTCGACGTAATTTGTATCATCATCATCATTTTGATTGTTATTGTTATTATTGTTGATTATCGACTGAAAGATTAATCCATCTTCTGGAACATCGTATAAAATTTCGACGTCTTCACGAAATGGAAACCATAATTGATGTGAAGAGAATTGCTGTGAATTAGCACTATCGGCAATAAACTGACTCAAAACACTATCGATTGAACTAAAAGAGAAAAGGAGAAAACAAGTAACAACAGTTCACATATAGATCGTAAATTGCAATAAGGCAAAATCTTGTAAAAGTGAAATGACAATCAAAAGAATTTTCCTCAAAACATGTTAACTATTAATTTTTCTTTTCCAACTTGACAAAAGCAATTGCATCCCTTCTCTAAGTACGTTTTTCTAGACAACATATCCATACTAATCAAGGGCTATTATGTAATTATAAGGCATATACCTTTAAAGCCATCTTATTTGTTATTGCCTTATTATTTCGTTTTTGCCCTTTTCGTTGCCTGGTTTTCTACCCTTCCGTACCATCTTTCTTTATCTATCTATCAAAACCCATTCAACAGGAAACAACGTGAAAGTCCTTGTCGATCTGATTTATAAAACACGACATTTTAGATTAAATATTTAACCACAAAGATCGTTCTACTAGTAGGTGGTGTGTGGCTATCAAATAGTTTATCAGCTCGAGTGTAATATTCATTAAAGAATAATGTAGTGGTGCATAATCGAAGAAAGACATCGAATAAGAAGAATAACATCGAGTATTACTAACGCAAACTACAAAGCAGGTACTTGACAAAGATAATAAAAGGAGTACTTACAAATGTTCAATATTTTCACCTTCATTTTTCCATTGATTTTCGAGTGAATTTTGTTGAGACGCTGTTGCTGGAGAACTAAAGAGTAACAGTAAGTTAGGACCACTAAACCTCATCTGTTTGTTCCACTTACGCATTCGGCTCAAGTAATTTGAAATAATTCAAAACACTAAAAAAAGAAAAGTAAACGTAACGTTCCCAAACAAGTAACAAACTGCAATATATACTTTTGCTGACGAATAGCATTCAAAACTAACACACCAGAGAAGCTAAATGATTTGTCATCGTTCGTGTATAGATTTTCAAACGCTTCGATAGCTTTCAATACGGACATCTAAAAGCACAAAAATAGCGTTAATACTAAATGATGTTGAAAATTCTACTTTCTTTTGAAGTAACAGACAACAATCCAAAGTCTTTTTAAAGCTGGATCAACTAAAAACTAGATTGAGTACGATTATTCATTTTCAATGTGTACGTGTTCGAATTGAGAGACAAAGCACAACGTCTACCTTTGTTTTAATCTTCTGCTATATGATTGGTCACTTAAAAGAATGGGAATGCAGATGAGTACAACCGTTACAATTGAATCACATATGTATATATATCTGTTATCCTTTATACCAAGCAGTGAAATTGAATTGAGAAAATTTTCTATCGTAATATATAATGAAACTGAAAAGTGTTTACTGAAGTGCGCTACACTCTCGTGGCAAGTTTTCACAATGATAGAGGTCAATGTTGTGAATGCAATTTCTGTTGATGACTTTTTGCACGTGGAATATATAAACTTTCTCAGTGGTTTACAGTCGTGAAGAATAGACGTAAGTCGCTGGTATCGACATTAGTTTACGTTGACTTTATCAACTATACGTGCCAAACAAGTCATTATCATCAGAATTTGGTCGCTTTTAGATTAAAAATATATTTTAGTACATAGCTCAAGAACTTTTCGTATGTACTACGAGAAACAGTCGCAGATCTAGAAAAAATTTTCGGTACTGGTGGATTTGTACAAAAGAGCAATACACGCGCTCGGCACGTAGCACAAGAAGGAGAGTATAATATATGAAATCAAAACTTTCGGTGCTGGCGACCTCTAGTATCCTAAGTCCGCCACTGATGAGGAAATAACAGTGACTAGAGCTCATATTGACAAATCATCTGATAACTCATGTGGGTGCGTCTCAGTTTATTTTTGGGATGAATGTCTATAAACATTCAGATAATCTGTAGTTTTCTTTTCTTTTTTTTACATTGTCAAGAATATATAGCAATGCGAACTATCTAATATCATCCTATAAAATCCTACAAAAAAGCAGAGCCATCTGTCTTAAATACCACTGATGTACCATCTGGTACTCTATCATCAAAAATTTTTTAAATATTGTTAATAAAAAACGTGGCAATAACGATGAATTTATAGTGTGAGTTCAGAAACAACAAAAAAAATGAATAGAAAAACAGGAAACAGCAAAAAGTAGCGTTTTGTGGCTTTTTTACAAGTATTAAATATCTTTAAGCATATCCGAAATTGAAGAGAACCTGTAAACGAGGATTTTCGAGTTCTTCAACTATGTGGTAAGTGTGGTACAAGTAGAACGTTGTCTCAGAACGTGGACAATGATTGAAATAAGAAAAAGCAGTAAGGCCATTTTTCAGATCATCAAATAAATAAATGAGACTGAAGAACTTTTAAAAGATATAAACTATGGCAGTCACATTCCATTTCTATGCAATGTTTCTCTAAGAAATTATGCTCCTCGGTTGTTAGCTAGAAATTCAACACTTAATTGACTGCGTTTTTCCTTTCACCTGCCCAAGATTACATAATCCAGTTCTTTTATCTGTTGTGTACTTATTCACTGACGTCTTGCATATTGTTGTTTTTGAAAAAGTCCTTGATTATTGCATAACATGTCACTGAAACAAAGAAAATAAGGTTAGACTTGCAAGTCCAAAGATTTTATTTTATTTAGTTCGTTCTGTTTCTTTTCTTTTTATACTATACACGTCTTTTCTTTTTGCCATTCGCCTTGAAAATGATCGAAAGATAAACAGGTCGAAAGTTCAGTAAATCAGTGTAGTAGTTAACTTCACTAAAAAATGCATTTCATTGCAGTTTTGTACTTCTTACTTGAATTTTTAAAATAAGGTTGGTTTTGGTTTTCTTAAAGGTGCTTTTTCGCAACCAACACACTCGATCACCCAGAAGGTTTTCTATTTGTGACGTAGGGTACCGTCAAAAGTTTAAGAAAAATTTTGAAAGTAGTTTTATTTTCCCATCGAAATTTTTTTACACCATTTTGTTTGAAAATTTTTCCTAAACTTTTGGAGGTATCCCTCGACAAAAATAGAAAATCTTCTGGATTATAGAGTGTGTTGATTGACGAAAAAGTACCTTTCAGCAACTCAAAACCAACTTTATTTGTTTTGTTTCGGTGATTTGAAATGTAAATAGCACTATAAATTCAGATGACTTCGTCAAACATCAATCAAGATTGGAATAATGTTAACCTATATCATTCTGCCAGAGAATGTGATGAAACGAAAGTTACCTTCGAATCTACATTACCCATATGGTTAAATGGAACTCTTTTTCGTAATGGGCCTGGTCACTTTGAACTCGATAACGAAGACCCACCAACAACTGTTTATCATTCATTTGACGGATTTGCTTATGTTCAAAAGTATGTGATTAATGGTGAAAACAATGAAATTAAATTTCAAACTACCTTTGTTAAATCACGAATGTATGAAGAATCATTAAAAGAAAAGAAATTATATGCCAGAACTTTTGGTACTGATCCGTGTAAAAGTATATTTGGTCGATTTCAATCTTTATTCATCAAGAATAAAGGTCCAAAGACATTCACAGATGACACTGGTGTTACCATACAACGTATTAACAATGAATTAGTAGCATTAACAGAAACAATAATTGGATATATTATAGATGAATCGACTATGGAAACAATAGCGCCTTTGATAACATTACCCTATGCAAAACCAATACAGTCCGAAATAATGACATTAACTACAGCACATGTTATGTACGATGTAAAACGACATATGACAGTCGGATATGCGTCAAGAATAACTAGATCAAAAGGATATTGGTTAGATGTCATATTTATTCATGATGATGCTGTTGATGAAGAAAAGAATGAACAAGTTAAGAGTGCTGATGTGGATGGTATGTATTAATCGACTAGGCTTGGTAGCTTCTCTTTTTAAAAGTCTTTTGTTTTTCTTAAGATGAAGATGATATAACAATTCATAGAAAATTTACAGCATTCACAAATACTATGAGTGAACGTGGCAAAGCATATAATCGAAACATAAAATCGAAAACAAAAGTCTATCGTTTTGATTATGATAATCCGTGTTATATGCATAGTGCATCGATTAGCGAAGATTATTTAATACTTTCTGAGATCCCACTTCATTTCTCATTGGTAAATGCGGCATGGGCAACAGTTGCTGGCGGTATTCTAACTGATATGTTTAAATGGAACGGTGCTACGTGTCCAACGTATTTCCGAATTATCTCATTAGATAATGGTCAAGAAATTGCGCGTATACCTGGTCCAAGTTTCTTTACATTTCATCATATTAACGCTTACCAAGTGACGACGGACGACGCTGATGAAATAGTGGTTGATATATGTGCCTATGATGATCATCGACTTGTACGAGAATTATATCTTGATAAATTGCGAGCCAATATTTTTCCTTCTGGTCTTGGTTATATCCGACGATTTAATTTAAATTTAAAGTTAAAACAATGTACCGAACCGTCAGAAAACAAAAATGAATTACCTGAACAAGAATACATTGGACATCCAATTGGTTATCGGAATAGTCTAGTACCTGTACCAATAGAATTGCCAAGAATAAATTCGGATTACATTGGAAAGTCATATCGCTATGTGTATGCAGTGCGTGGACCACCGAATTACATGTTTGATGCACTTGTCAAAATTGATTTACAAACACAGACTGTGAGTGGTCTATGGATTGAACCGTGTACGTCACCAAGTGAGCCGATTTTTGTACCGAAACCAAATTCAACAGAAGAAGATGAAGGAGTTGTATTAACAGTTGTTTTAGAACAAAAACGAAAACAATCTTTTATACTTATATTAGATGGTCAGTCATTCAAAGAGATAACAAGAGCCTATTTACCTATATCTGTCCCACTATCATTTCATGGTAATTTTTATTGAAACTAGCTCCTTTTTAATTAGTAAACTTTTTAACACATATATCTTTTTTTAAAACAATGAATAGCTTTGATGAACTTTGATGTGTTCATTATATCAAAATACTGTTCCTTTGTCAACGGCTTAAAATAGACGGTACTAAATATCAGAAAATGTACCGATCATCAGCTATGTTGTCTATTTCACATTTGTTTTTCAAACTCAGATCTTAAAATTACGGGTAAGTAGTTAACTAGTATTCTTCCACAACTAAACGATTGATACCTATTTCACAAATATAAAACTATACATCTGACTCACATGAAAAGAAGGTTTTAACCATATATATGCATTTGAATGTACTCTCATACGAGCCTAGGCATACTTTGTTTAGCTCAATTTACAAACACTTCATCTAGATCAGCTTTTCGATCTGCATCGATCCAAAAAGAAAACGCGTCCAGACACGTTTTGGAGCTTTTACGTTAATTTGAATCAAAAATTTGTAGACGTGCATAGTTGAGACATTTCCACAAACAGAAAAGCAACGCGTCTTGACGTACATCTCTCATACTCAAGATATTTTCAACTTACTAATGTTTAGCATATCTAGACACGCTTATTTTTGAAAAAGCATCAGAAAGTTGGAAACATCTTGAGTATGAGAGATGTACGTCAAGACGCGTTGCTTTTCTGTTTGTAGAAATGTCTCAACTATGCATATATATGGTTAAAACCTTCTTTTCATGTGAGTCAGATGTATAGCTTTACATTTACAAATTCGTTCGACAAAAAGTGCAGGCATTCTGTTCAATCCTCCATGTGATTCTTAGACTACTAGCTAGTCTAAAATATAATTTATTAAAAAATAATTAATATAAAAAAAGAAAAATAACATTCTCAGGTATCTGTTCTTAATGTTGCATGAAACAATGGATATCGCTTCAATTTTGACTGACTATTATTTTCAGTACTGCCACAGTCAGATTTAGCTTTTGATATTGATTTTGTTGATTTAAATAGTGAAAATGGTTTCAGTTCAGTGTCCGATATTGAACTATTAAATGACATTATAGAATCATCGTTGTCTGAGGAAGAAGATGTCAACACTACTGTTTTTTTAACTATAGCGGATTTTGAATTTCGACGATTTAATAATAAAGCATCATTTCGTTTTTCAATCAATAGTTTTGTCGAAGTCGTATAAACACTTTTTGGTAATTGTCCTACTTTTGTACGTTGAGATTGTTGTATATTAGCATTTTGAAAGGTTGAAAAATGACGTTTTTGTTGTAAAAATGCTTCTGCTGCTTTTAAACGATCGTTTGTAGCAGAATTATTATTACTATGATTATTAGATTTATTCGATGTTGGTTTATTATTTTCGTTCATTAATTTTTTAATATCATCAATCCATTCTAATTTTGTTAATAATTCTTTAACACTATATTCTAAATCGTTAATCATCATAACATCGTAGAGACGTGGAGACACGAATGTACCAACTATTTCACGATTGATTAATAAACGTGGCGTAGAACGAGCAGGACAATCAACAATATCAGCAAATGGATATACAGCTAAACTTGTTCCCATAACGATACAACAATCACACATTGGTAAATCTTGCATATACAATTGAAAACGACGGGGTAAATCTTCACCAAAAAAACTACACAAAAAAAATTGTATTAAAATGATCTCTTAGCTATTCAAGAACTTACACAATATCCGGTTTGACTGTTCCTTGACAATTTTTCGTTTTTATACACAAGGGAATTTTATCATTAAATATTTGTTCACGAATTTCATCGCACGTATGTTTTTGACGACATTTCAAACATGTAGCAGTCATAAATGTACCATGAGCTTCAACTATTTTATCAACTGGTACACCAGCAGCTAAAATAAGAAAAAAGAGTTAGAAGTCATGTAAGAGAGCTCGCTAAAGTATTTATACGTCATTGATATTCAAAGTTTTTTACCTCGTTCAAGTGAATCAATATTTTGTGTATAAAGTCGATGAAGTAATTGTTTATCGTTCAAATATCGCATAAAATAATGTATAATATTGGGTTGATATCTTCCAGGATATAATTCTTTAGCCAAATGAAAGAATGGTTTTGGATTACGACGAAAATAACTTAACTCAAATATTGCTTCTGGATAAGGAATATTGTAACGTTGTAAATTATCATATAAACCAGTGCCAGGTGTTCTATAATTAGGCAAAACAAATTACGATTATAATATATTCTTATAATTGAAATAGCGATATGATTATGAACATAGTATTAAAATAAAATACCTGCCTAAAGTCTGGTATACCTACAAAATATAGCAAAGAGTCTATAGTAAAAAATTTCGAAACATCAAAGATTTTTCTTACCACTCAATGTTGAAATTCCTGCACCGGCAAGGACCACAATACGTTTAATTTTTCCTGTTTTAATTGATTGTACTAGATCATCGAGAGTATAATTTTTTGCTGTAGTTGAACTTCTTCTTATGGCACTAAAATGAAAAATGATTATTATAGTCGACGAAAACTGTGTATATATGTCGTTCTAATAGTTGATACTATGATTGTATTTTTTTTACCTTTTTCCTCCAAACCGGAATCTATTCAATTTATCTGTAAGATCTTGAATATCTTTATTTGTTCCTTTATTAGAAAACCGATGTAATGATCTTGATTGTTGTGATGAATCACGACTACTAGTCGATGTTTTTCGAGACATCTGATCTGATTTAAAAGAAATAAAGTGATATTTGAATATGCACATCATTTGACGAAATATATAAGAGTAAACTTAAAACAAAACTGATTAATGAACTAGTACGCTTTGTTTTAAGTTTATACTGATATTTGAACAATGCAGATGTTGTTATGAGCCATTGCACAGATTAGACGATCTATTGTCGTATATACTGTTCAATCGATGTTCATATTTTTGGCTCATGTTATCATAGTGTAAGTAGAGGCAACACATTTAGAAAGATTCTTCAAATTTGTTGACCGAGAAATTGCTTTCTGTTGAAGTTATAAGCTTTTTCCTAAATATTCTAAAATCGTGTAAGAACAAATCTGAACAAAAAAAATAGATTTTATTTTCTCAAATATCTCAGCTTAGAAACAATATTAAATGTTCATATGCCGCACATAAGTAATATAGGTCAAGTACTATCTATAGTCAAAAGTATGTGTAGATCTACCTTTGCATATGTGTAGACTCATACAAGGAGAAGTGTAAAAACTGAGCTAAAACTTCAACTTTTTGTAGATTTTTTTCTATAGTATAAGAAACTTTTTGATTCAAATGTTATCGATTTAGATAGCAGAGTAGTTGGTCTACTATAAAAGCTAATTTTTCTTCTGATGACTATCATTCATAGGAGTTAGAACAAGCTCAAAAATCTGACTCTAAACGGAAACAAGCTCATTTCTAAATCGATTTTCTTATCTGATATCTCTGGTAAAGTTGGCGCTCATGTGCTAATGACCAGTGCTCTCGTGTCAGGCTATCGTACTCTGCCTTCAGACTTATGGCATATTCAACTTTTTGGAAACTATCACTATCTAGCAAAACATGCTAGAGTGAACCGAAGAATTTGAAGTTCTTAATGATTTTAGAATATTTAGGAAAAAGCTTATAACTTCAGCAGGAAGCAATTTCTCGGTCAACAAATTTGAAGAATCTTTCTAAATGTGTTGCCTCTACTTACACTATGATAACATGAGCCTAAAATGTGAACATCGATTGAACAGTATATACGACAATAGATCATCTTATCTGTACAATCGGTCTTAGTGTTTTACTACCTTGTACTTACCAAGAAGAGTGCACGCCCGGAAAAAATTTTTACTATGAATAATCGTTTTCATATGAATAAGTTTAATAAAACATCTAAAATTATTTTATTCTTTATTAAAGTCACATTTTCAAATAAATTTCAACAGAACATTGCCGTTTTTTGTTTGTTTGTTGTCAGGTATATTTACCTTTCGAATGAATAAAACAAGAACAAGGAAAAAAAAATTTTTTTTATGTGTTATCTCTATTTAACTTTCATCGACTATTAGTTGCAAAATTTTATGAAGAACAGCAATAATTATCAATGATCAAGACGGTAAAAAAAGTAACGTGTTAATAGTACGTGATGTATGAATCTTTTCTTTCTTCTGTTGATTGTTCTTTCATCAGACACAGTGCTTAATCTCGTTAGAAAAGATCAATTTCAAAATAACTACCGCACTCTAATCAATAAAGTATTGTTTAACTTACACATTTTTCCCGTATTAATATGTCAAACATGTCAGTTAGTATCAGATAAACGTAATTGAAGCATACTGCACACATTTCAAACTATTATCTATAGATGAATAAATGGATTTATTAAACACATTTATTTTAAGAAAAGAAGATAAAAGATTGTAGACCAAAATGAACGGAATGTAAATGACTATATATGTTAGAAAAGAGAAGAAAAAAAAACTCTGAAAAGAACAACAAAAATGTTTAAACAGATTTTAGTCGATCAACACTATAATAATACACAGAGAAAACAAAAAATGCAGATGAGTCGGAATAATTTTTGTTCTATAGAAGAGAAACATCTTGAATGAGAAAAATGACGAATACATTTTTGAATTAGGAATCGTAGTGATGGACTTTTTAATCGCGTCACAGCCGATCAAAATAAAAATCATCTAGAAATATATACAGAGAGTAGATATTGCTAAATCAAAAAATTTCATCAAAAAAAGTATATTATAGTTTTGGACTTTTAAAAAAATGTTAAATACGAAAAACGGACATAATTAAATCAAATAAAATAAAAATATAAACATATTTTTGTTTCGTCGAGAAAACAAAGCAAGTCACCTATGTGAAAATATTGAATAATGGAAGAAACTAGAAATAGCTGAGTTGACTACAACTGACACAGAATAGAGAAATACCATTCTAAAATAATTAGTAAATTTTAAGAAACATTGTAGAAGATAAAAAAAAAATGAAATCCATATTCGGAGGAAATCATATCTACAATGGTGGTTGTTCGATTGTAAAACAATCACGAATATTTGTCCAACTTTTCAAAGCCTATGAAAAAACAGACAGATTTCGTTAAATTTTAAATTAATATTTGTTTTGAAACATACCGTTTTACATATTCTTGCTTGTAATAGACAATATGCTCTTAAAATATCTCGGAATTGATCTTCTTTCATATTTTTATAAAATTCTAATTCTGTTACAGCATTCTTATTAAACTCACTAGAAAAATAAAAACAAGTAAATTATAAAAAAAGAAAAGAAAGATGATTTATAAATAAAAGATATTTACTTTAATTTGACTTCTGCATTTTGACAATGTAATGTTGCATCATTAATATCAGCATCCATACATTCTATTTTAGCATAACGTGTATCTTGATTATCGCCAAATAATTTTGCTTTTAATGCGTTAACAGAAAAATTCATTTTACCATTGGCCTAAAACAAAATGAAAAAGAGATTGATATTTATTACAAGTCTATAATTTATTTCATATTTTATACATATGCATCTCGTTGAGTTTTTTTAACACCGAGATTATTTTCATATTTTTGTGTATCTTCAATTAATTGTTCGTGTTTTTCGACAATTCCTCTAAATACATATAATTCAATGCCATATGAAATAAAGCATATATTTAATCTATTTTACCTGATAACTTCACAATATGTTGCCTGTTGTTTGATAAAATCCATCAATGCATCTTCTTCATGAAGAAACTCTTCAATCTGACCAGAAAAACTATAAGAAATACATAAAAAAAATAATAAAATAATATGACTCGTACATACAAAATAAAAAATGATTACCTATCTAAATAATGTCCAGCACGTTGTAATGAGTCACCGAGTTTATCTTCAGTGCCACTCCAATCACTAAATAATCTTCCAAACATATTATGAGCTTGATACAATGTAAATAGACGATCGGCCATTCTCTAAAAATAGAAAATTTTCATAAATAAATGATTTAGATACTGATGTGATATGATATTTAACATACAGCACGAGTACGTAAGATATTGTTTAAAACGCTGTGTAAATCGTTTGCATATTGATATGCACTGGAAAAGCGTCTTAAAAAAAAGGATAGATAATAGATTATTCGTTATGCTAAATCTGTTTTTCAACAAAGTACATACTTATCCTTGGTTCTTTCATGTTGGAGTAATTTCAATTTGAATGCGGGAAGAATCGGTTCGGACTATAAAATGAGAACGTAATAATAGAGTAGAAACTATTGTTAGTTTGAACTGTAAATCTAGTCAATGTCAGAAGAAAATTTCTTGACTGTAACTTAAGAATCATAAAACGCACAAAATATCTGTCTGTCTGTTACAAGATGGTGGATGCGCGGAAAGAAAAGAAAAAAATGTTTTTATAAATAGAAAATTCACCTGACTTCAGTTTAAAATGGTACAGAAAACGGTTTACACTTAATCCAGAAGAGTCTGATACTTAAGATCGCGAGAAGATCTTCAAGAAGCTCTGATAGTAGTTTATCATTTACAGTCAAGGAATGTAGCGAGTTCCAGTGGACGTTGTTGATTAATTAGTTGATTTCAATATTCTCCTATCGAATTACCTTATTTAACACATGACTTATATCAACAATTTGTTTCCAACCGTCATTTTGTAGAACAAAATTTTGTACAGCTGAATCAGATGATAAAGTTGGATGACCACACAAATGATGTAGAAAACGCTAGAAAAAAATAAGTATAAATTAGAAATTTAATCAATTGATCATGTTTTGAAAATTATTTACCTCTAGTAATAATCTTCGTCTTTCTACAACTTCGACGCTTGTTCTATCTTGATGAGATTTTGACCATGTATGAGAAATCTTCAATAAAAAAAGATATAGAATGATAGACGATTGAATAAGATATAAATAAAACATACAGTTTTTTCTGGTAAAACTGGAACAATAATCCATGAATATTTTGCAGTTAAATAATTTCTTAATGTTTCAAAATCACTATATCGTCGAAATACACATGTTGATTCTATTTCGCTTGATCCACAATGGGTACGTGGCCTTGAAAAAAACAAACAATACTATTTTAAAATAGACTAAAGAATCTTAAAGAAAATTAATTACCGGCATTCAATCAAATAAACAATATAACAGTCTTGAATGGATATACTACTTGTATTTCGTCGTTCGGTGTTTGTTATAGATATATCATAACGATCGAATAATGTTAACGTTTCTTCAGACTAAAATAAATCGATAGATCGGATTTCATAAACATTCAATAAAGTCTGTAACATACCATTATAGGATAAAAATGTACTAAACTAATGAATTAAAATTTTCATAATTATCTAGAACAGAAATTTAAACATTTGAAGAAAAGAAGTAGAGGGAACAAAAATGTCGTTAGCACATACGAGTCATATACTCTCTACGGGATGATATTAGAATAGATTTTCGTGGAAATATTTTGATGAATGACAGAAAACAAGTGAAAAGATGAATGAATGAATATTGATTTAAACTGTCCTCGTTAAATGTCAGTTCAATCTTATTGAACTAATAAATCGATATTTCATGTTTTCTATTATTCAATTTTCAAGTGCTGAGAGAAGGGTCAAATTTTAGATTATGTGGATGAATAAAACTTTAACTTTAACGAATGTATTAACAGTAAAGAAAATCTCGATCATTGGTCATCACTAAATGTCGTATTTTCATTAAATTTAATATTTCAAAAATTTTGTGAGCGCGCCATCATCGTAACTATGATATTTGACTTTTATCTGGTTCTGCTATGCTGGTTGGTGACACAATGAAATTAAACGGCCGAATTGTATATGAAGTATAAAAGAAAAACATTTTAAACTTATTTTGGACGACTCTAGGATTATATTTCATATCTTATTTCTTTTTTTAATTTCTCATCTGTTGTCAAAATGTTTTTATAAAATTTAAAAAGAAAACTATTTATAAATGAACTAAACCGTAGTTCATCAAATATTCTATTGATTTTATTTGTTATTTTCATCATTGTATCGATATCTTCTCAAATTAGTGGTGATAAAACCGATTAAAAAGTAAAAATTCATTTTAAAATACAATATTATCATCAGTATTTCTTGGGTTTCATCACTTTATTTCACTGTATTTATCGGATCGATTAATATTTATCGAATAATTTGATGGTCTAATATATCTTCTAATAGAAGCTAATTTAATTTGTCATCAGTAGCATAACACCGATAAGCAACATTACTCCACTTGAATATATCGTTGAAAGAGAATGAATGCAACAGAATCATTAATTCAAAATCAACGATATAAAGATCAATGTTCAGGTGATATTATTGAAACAATAACGACACATACACACAATTTTTGTACAAATTGTGGTCATGAAACAACGCCGATAACAAATTCATCATCAGTCATCCAATCAAATCAAACAAACACAACAACAGTGATACCGAAATATATTGTATCAAAAACACAGCAGATATTACCAATTTATCATCCAGAACCCGGTGCAAGTTTAGCATCAACTATCATTGATGAAGTAAATCATTCTATAACATCACCATCATTGATTTTCAAAGTCAGATCAGATGAAACATCAATCATAACACAGCAAAAGAAACCCATACTCGTACAAAAATTAGCTATTGTTGAACCACTTGTTATTCAGCCTCAAAGACAATTATCTCCAACAAGTAATATATCGAGTAAAGATCAAGATCAAGAAGATCAATTAAATGAATCAGATGATAGTGAAGTGCAATCATTGAATGGACCAGAAAATCCAAAATATAAAACAGAATTGTGTCGAAATTTTACTGCTTATGGATGCTGTAGTTATTCATCGAGATGTCAATTTGCACGTATGTACATGATTTTTGCAGATTCTCTAGGCAAATTGCAAAAAATAATGATATATTTTCGAGATAGTTGGTTTCAAAATTTGTTATGTTCATTAAGTTTTTTGATTAATTTAGACGGACTACATGAACTGAAATGTAGAACGAGACATCCAAAATATAAGACTGAAGTTTGTCGAAATCATATTAGCGGCTATTGTAAATATGGTTCACGATGTCAGTTTATCCATCGTACAGAAGAATCAAAAGCTCGTCAAGCGGTCACTGTACAGAAACAAGAGCAACAATCTTTACCATTACATAATTTGCTTGGCACAGTTCCACCAAATACTTCAACATCTCCGATATTACCGCAAGTTCAACCTCTATTTATGCCAATGTTACCCGATCCAAATTCAATAGCTGCCTTATACTTGTTGTTGGCTCAGTCAGCAGCATTTGGTATTCAACAACAAAGAAATGAGAATGTAGGTGCATTAGCTGCTCTCACATCCGTTGCGGCGACAAGTACTTTAAAACAAGCTGTTCAACAACAATATCAAAGACAGCAAACTTCACATTTCACTCGCTCCAGTTGTGGTAGTGAAACAACGGGTGTCTATCCTGTTTTTCCAACGGCTATAAATGTTCCATTTAATACAAATGCCATTGCATCAATTCCATCAGACAATCAATATCAACAAAACAATCATCCATTAACTAATACAAACTATAACAGTGTCACAGAACAAGTTCAAGAAACAATAAACATCACTAGCACTGGTATTTCTCGTCCACAAAGTTGTGAATATAGACTAGATAATGAGAGTAATACAAAAAATTCAATGTTAATGAATGAAGATATAAATGGTTCGTCACTATCATCACAAAATAGACGAACAAGAAAATCTTCTGCACATATTTAATTATCTCTCTCTATATGCCAGCACAGTGCTTATGTAATAGAATTATTTAATAGATTAAAATCTAAAAATCGATTATCTATTGATAATTTAATTAACAATCTGTTTTGTATTATATCACAAGTCTAGATTTCTGCTCTACTATTTATTCACCTTAAAAATACTGATATGTTTAATGCTTAATAAAAATGTGTGTAGAACGTTTTAAAAATCGAATATAAAGAGAGTGAAAACTCAATAGAACGTGTTAAGAAATTTAATTCTCTTATTCACGTGCCGTAAAATTCAATTCTTTAGTGTCCTTTTCTCCCATGTGCTAAACAAAAATACCACATCATATACCACTATTCGAACGATATACAAAAAAAGAATACAATTTGCAGAAAATTTATTTGAATTAATTTAATGTACGTAAAAGTTTTGACATGAAAAAAAAAGAACAATAAAATCGATGTTGATGTTGATTTACACTATGACTGAATTTTTAATCTATCACATAAAATATAATAACTGCTAAAAACAATCAGTCATGTCTCTTTAAGTATGTTTATATCGTTTTACATCGGGTGGTTTTGTTAATGCATCTTTTATTTTATCCTGAGCTGCTTTGAGATATTCTGATTGGGTATGTTTGTCTAACGTTTCTTCTGATTCCCATTGTTCAATAAATGTTAATTGATGTTTATCATTGATATTTTGAAATAATTCATATTTTATACAACCTTCACTCTTACGTGTTTCATCGATTAGTTCTTGAAGAGTTTGTTTCACTTGAGAAACTTTATCGGCGACTATAAACAAATCAGCAACAACATAAACATTTGATTTACTCATGGTATTTTATTTCTAAAAAAGAAATGAGTAGATTAATATAATAAAAATTAGAGTTGTCAATGTGATACATTAACAAAATGGTCAAATTAAAATCAGAGTATTTCGATCTACACACTAATAGAACGAAGAATTGAATATGTAGATACTAATGGAAAAAAAAATCAAAGTTAATTATGTTCGTATTCTAAATGAATATGCAGTATTTACACAAATATGGCAGCTTATAATGCTAGTGTACACACACATGATATATCGTTAAATTAATAACTCATCCACTAACGATTTAACTCAAAATGAATTTTTTATCAATTACTTCAAGATGCGAAGTATTTTGACGAAATTACTATATTAGTACGCGATAAATAACATGTCTATTCCTCAAGTCCTACTATCGAATCTAGTGTTTAATTTGAGTAAATAGACTGATCTTATCTTACATTACTCATGTGAGTTTGCTTCTGTTCCTCTCCTGTTCTTTATGTCTAGGCATGCATCAGTTAAGAACCAGTGCTTTTCATCTTTTTTCGCAAATATATTGTCTATAAAGTATGCCATATTAAATGTTTCTGACAACTGAATTTTTGTAGACAAACATTTCTCTACAAACGAGCTATGAAAACTTATGAAATTTATCTCTATTCAGCACTTATAAAAAAAGTGTTGACTAATTCATCAGCTTCTATTATAACCGAATCCGATAAATGAGACTCTTCGTAGGCAGTTGATTGTAACAAAAAGAGAAAAGACGGAAAGAGTCTGCACACAGCTCATTTTGTAGAGAAATGTTTGCTCTTCAGTTGTTAGAAACATTTAATACGGCATACTTTACATACAATATATTTGCAAAAAAAGATAAAAAATACTGGTTCTTAACAGGTGCATGCCTATTTTTTCCTCTTTCTTCTTTCCGGTATAAAATACGTTTATGAAAATAACATTGAGAATGAAAAGTGTGTTTACGTCATATATCATTTGATAAGTAGTGCTTATATATGTAAATCGAGATCATAGAATATTCGCATTCGCGATGTGAATTATTTTTGCTTTTTCGTTATGCAACATGTCTTCATACTAGCTATAGACTGGCAATGTGTATCTTTTTTCTCACTAGTACTGGTCATATTACAGGTCAGGTAAAGATCGATTGCGAATTCTCTATTATTTTCTGACTAGTTCAAGTAACCATATAGGTTATATTGACTCGTGACTCACTCTCATCCATTCGTTCGCCTCGCCCCTCCCTGACACACATGCATACAAGTTGTCTATCTGGTAAAATTTCATGGTGTCAAACAGTCATAAGTATTAAAGCAGCAAAATATAGAGAATTCGCAATTAATCCTTACCTGACGTTCATAGTGACCTGTACCAGTCAGAAGATAGTAGGGAATTCGCAAATACATCACACCAATACGCATTCTTATCATTCATTGCATACCGAAATGAATTCCCAGTGAATGCGAATTCGTTCTTATAAAAAATCAAATTCTCTGCGAAAGTGAATTTTCCGGGCTAAAGAACTGAATCTTGTGATTGTGTCCATCAAATAATAAAAAAGTATAAAGTGTGAAAATGATCTACCATGCGGAGTATGTCAGTCAAAATCTGAATAATCATGGATTAGATAGATAAAGCCATCTATGTAATTATAGAAATTGTTTTCACGAATTCAAATAGGTTTATTGACAAAGTATCAGAGCCCGAAACGAATCAGATAAGTCTGATTCGATTCGACCCATTTCGATGCTATCTAAAGCTTGCGTCTCTTTTGCTTTCCAACGTTTGCTTAAAATATACTGTGTCGAATAAAATACTTGAGCAGAACATGTTATTTATGTGACAAAAACTATCGCACATACATTGTAGGAAAAACAAACAAAAACAAACAATAGTTTGTTCATAAAAATTAAATTCGGTTCGATTCGAATATCGAATGATTCGATTCTTTTCCGACTCTGCAAAGTATTGTAGAAGATAATTTGTATTGTGACCGTAAGATTGTTAAAGTTAAATTAGTAACTGGACGTAAGAAATTTATTTCTGTAATTGGGAAAATATACAACCACACAGCAACTAATTAGAGTTTAATTACTTAATGCTATTTTCATTTTATTTTATATATTTTAAACCGTTTATATACGAAATTAAAAACTAGATCCTCATTTTCTCTTTGCGAGAAAAGTGAGTGTAGAAACATATGGAATTATTTTGAACAAGAATTCACAAATGAGAAAGAAAAATATTTAGAACGTAGATGAAAAACGAATGCATTAAATAAATTATGGTGGAAAATTATCAAGTCATGTCTTACATGTTCACGTTTCACAAACATTTATGTTGAGTAAGCACTTCCTGTAGTATCTTTCAAAAACGTTATAACATTTTTGAAAGATACTACAGAAAGTATAAATAATATTACCTATAACAGATTTATTTTTTCTAATGCTTTACTTTCAAATGCTTTCCAAAGTTGAACAATGTTTAAGATTACCCTCTCTTTTTTGAAAAACATTCCAACTTTGAGCTAAACATAGACTAATGTAGAGGAAAATCTGGGCTACAAGATGAGACCACTGCCAGCTTTCCACGATGTTTTTTGAAGAAGTGATGAAGCTTTTCAAAAGTCTAGAAACACTTTTTTTTGTTTCATACATCTTTCTCCCGATTTCAGCAGTTTGAAAATATTTTCTTATGCATAGTCTAATAGAGAAAACTATTTTATCCATAACGAGAGGTCTTCCAAAGTTTTTTAATAAATCTTCATGGAGATATAAGCATCGCCGCAAATACTTAACCAGAAGCGGTTCTAATCCAGTCACATGACGACCCCTGAAAAAACGACCCGATCGAATACAAATATATTCATCGATACTCCGGACTATCTCAGATTCTACATTTTTTTTAAAGTGTTTTCGATTTCAACTTTGGGTGCGGGAAAATTTATAATATCAAACACCGACTTTTCATATAGGATTTTCAGCATTTTTCGAATATCTCGAGAAAGGAAAGCATATTTTTAGAAAATAAAATTTTAGAAGTTGAGATAGTGTCTGAAGTATGTGCCGGCAAAAATTCCAGTTTGATCAGACCATTTTTTTAAGAGATCATAATGTAACTAGATGAAAACTGCAGTTTTTCAGAAAAAACATAGAAGAACCTATCAGAAAAATCTGGATAAAAATACGTCGATTTTCTTTCTCGATGTTCTATCTTTGGTATAAATTTCAATGCAATCGAACATCGGCTTCCCCGTTTCCAAAAAAAAAGAGGGGAGAAGTATCCTTAAGTAGGATAAATCGGAACATGGCAAAAAATAAATAGAAATATGTAAAAAGTAGAAGTGCATTGTTTACTTAATGTGATACAATAAAAACTTATTTGACACGTCCATTCTTCATGAAATTTTCAAATAATTAAACCTGTACCGCGATACAATTTATGCTTCCTTAAAATGACTTAAACACCGAAACTAATTTTACTGACTATGTTTCAGTCTATTTAAAACCTTCATATGATTTATAGTATAAAGCTACTTTGATTGATTTTTAGTATTACTATACATTTAAGCTCAATGGAAAAGTTAACCAAAATTTCAGGATGAATTTCTATCGAACAATTAACTTGAACTTGCAAGTTTATTTTATGCTCAAGAAAACATCTAGTAACAAGGGAAGCACAAAAAAAATAAAAGCCTTGTAAATACAGGACAGTTATAAAAAAACTGAAAAAAGAAAAACAACACAGTTATATCGACAGATTAGTGCGTAATGCTCGTTTGAAAGTAGTAATTGTATGATAAGATACGACAGTATGTTCCTCTTAATTTCTCTTATTTTTCTTCCTTAACCAAAAGTACCTAACGCTAGGCATTGATTGTTCGTTTTCTTTTTAATTAGCTGAAAAGTTTCTTAAAATCGAGCACTGTAAAGAAAAAGCTGCTTAAAATACGTTCTTGTACGACATTATCTTGAAAATGTCCCTTTAAATTGTTTCTTCTCATTAACTTTCTTGAAAAAGCTACTTAAAAATGTGCTATCTGTAATAATCTTTAAAAAATCTCTTTTATAAACATAAGGTTTGTGCTGTTAGTTGTTTAACTATCTTTTAAAAGCTTGCTATTTAGTCAGGAGATTTGCATGTATAGGGATCATTCAATTTATAGTTGAAGTTATGAGTAGGCGCTTCTTCTTCTATATTCTAGAAGGCATTCTACCTTTTTCTCACCTCTGTCCACTATGTGAACTATATCTGATTTCATCAAAGGAATCCTACTTAATAAATTGTTTAACCATAGTGTCTGGAAAAATATACTGAAAAAGGTCGACTTTCGCATGCTTGATAACGTTTCTTACTTTAAGAGGCTTTTTTTTACAGTGATGAATACTATTTTAACGGTTACTATTCAAACGGCATGATCTTTTAGGTTGGTTTTATAAAAGGTGGATCGCAAACGGAGAGAGGTGAGAGAGAATTTCTGGCTTCGAAAAAATATAATAACCAAAAATATTTCCTCCGTGTAGATAAATCTGCAAGCTTTAGTTTGGTGATCAAATACGGAATCGTCAAATTTTTAGCGATCATACGAGCGGCTAATATAGTAATTTGATCTAAATCTTCTTTATACCATTTACTATCGTAAACTACACTAGCGTAATCTAGACTACTCAAAATAAATGCTTTAAAAATGGCTAAATGGGTCTTTACCGGAGACTCTCGGAACGTTCTATTATTTGTGATAAACAAAATTCTTTGGTTACTACATTCTCACATGACAGGACACTTATACACGTTTTCCATTGAAAATGAAACATTTAAAAATACATTTTTTCCGTAACTAGTAAGGCAATGGAATGAGAACTACATATGAAATTGCTTCAAATTGTTAAATTGACTCATTTTTAGCTTGAAACTTCATGACTATTTTCACTCGCATATTAAATGGCCTATATTTATTTACTAATAGTGAGTGAAAGTATGATGTATACTTCAATCAAATGAGAGTCAATTTTTGTAGATTAAAACATGATTTATTTCATAAAAACTTAGTTAATAGTCAATTTCATGCACGTGGTAAAACTGGAACGACTTAGTATTTCTTTCTCTTGAAATGTTCACACTATCGATATATTCATTCAAAATTACGGAAAGATTGACACACTACTACACTTACGTTACCTTTCACATTAAATAAGATCCTACTTTTGGATTAATCTTTTAATTTATTTTTTATCTCTCTTTATAATATTAGTAAAAGATAAAAATAGTAGCTTATAATAACAACAACAAAACAAAAGGAGAATATCACCTTGATAAAAATAAGATGATTCTGTTTTCTTCGCGTAAAATACTTGGTTTTTCAGTTTTTTGTGGAACATTAGAAGACTGAAAAACATGAAAGTAAACTGTCATGTTTAAAAATTAACTTCACTGATTGCAAAATAAGAAGAAAAATCTTCATTATTAGTCAACTTATGTTTAATACATGAATTATAAAATGAAAACAATGAGAACAAAGAGATATACCAAACAGAATTTTTATATATTTTGCATATCATTGTTTCAGTAAGGTATCCAACTACTCTTAAGACTAGAGATTAAATAGTAGGAGTAGAAGAAGAAAAGAAAAACACATTCGAAGAGATAAACAAGCAATCTAGAAATGTTGAATAAGGATACTGCCCGTTTTTAAGGTTTCAAGTGATTAACTTTCTATTCAAGGGTAAAATAGAAATTTATAAGGCGCAACTGACTATATGCTTCTTAGGACTTGGCGCTGTATGGCTCGTGTGTAAACTGAAAAGTTTGGGCACCATGTGATATCCATGTAATAAAAAATATTTTTAGAAAAATTATTTTTAGCGGACCCCAGTCAAAAATTCTCTTAAACTTTTTTTTCTTAAAAATGTTTGAGTGACGCATAATTCGATCCGGTTTTGTTAGCTGATTTCAAATATACCTTCGTTTTCCATTGAAGAGGTATAGAAAGCGGGAAAAATACAAAATAAGCGGACTAACTCAATGCTGAAAACTTATTTTTTCTCAAAGTTTACGCTCCCGCACTCGTAGTCCACCTAAATTTTTTTATACCGTACAACACAGAGAGAGAATTGAATTCTACACAAAATTAGACTAAAATAATGTTGAAGTCTTTGATGGTCTTTTGCTTAGAACAGTTTTACTAACGCAGCATCAAAATTGCTGTGTCAAAAGTTTTGATAAGAATATTTTCGGGACCAATTTGAGGCCTTGACTACGCATATTAATCCTAGATCTGTAATAATCTGCAGCATTGTGGTCACTGACATTACGTAGTGCACCCTGTTATGTTAATACGAACTTATCAAAGAAGAGATCAAAAATACTTAATTCCTACTGTTTTCTCTATAGTAGAAATACTCAGCGAAATGTATCGAAAAAGGCTCTCGGTGTCGTAGAATATGTCATAGAACATTATTTTTTACTGTGTAATAGCAGATCAGTGATATTTCGAGTGAGATAATTTGAAGAGAAAAAAATCGCCAAGTTGCATCTATCATAATTCATTAAAAAGCAACAATGCATGTGTAGTATTAAGCTTAAAGTCTTATACGTATATCTTTTCATATGGTGGTCAATCAGCATTAAGATGGAAAAATTTAGACATTTTCTTAACTTACAAATTTTATTAGACTACCTACTTAATTTTTTTTCATTTGTATTAGCATAACAGAATTGATTCTATGTTTGATGATGATTTTATGACAAGTAAGACAGAAAAGTTTTCATAGAATCCGTATTATCACATTCAAACGATAAAATTATTTTTCTACATTTTACTCCTAATGAAAATTAATATATGGCCAAGAAAAGGGAAAAGCGAACAAAAATTGGAAATATTCAATAAGTAAGAACTAATTTATATAAACTAACTGGACTATAATTATAATTATTTATCTACTTCCGGACTCCTAGTTATCAAAATCTTGTTTTGTGCAAAAGAAAAGAAACTAATAGTAAGAGAAAAACATTCGTTTTTTTTTTTATGTCATACAGACACGAGTATTTTATATTTTTGGTTCATAGACTAATATGAGTTCATCATCAGCGATATACGTTATTATTGATATTTTTGTAAAAGCAGAAAAATCTGAATATGGTAAAAAAATACTTTATGGATTAGTTGATCAATCGAAAAAAGAAGATGGTTGTATGAGATATCGATTATGTGAAAATTTAACTGACAAAACACATTTTACAATTATTGAACAATGGGAATCAGAAGAAAATTATGAAGAACATCTACAGAGTGAACATATTAAAAAAGCTGGTGAACAATTGAAAGATGATTTTTTAAAACCAGTCGAGGAGAAACGATATAAATCTGTACATATTGATAACAATATGAAGAAAACTATACCAAAAAACTCAAGCAGTTTTTGCACTATTTTATGATTAACTATCTCATTATTAATTTTAAAATAAACGTTTAGATATTGAATTTTGTTTTTTTCTATATGCAATCAATAATATCTTAATTTGTACATTACACAATAGACAAATGTTTAAATGAGTTACATCTCGTTTACTGAAACAATGTAAATAGAATTAAGACAGTATCAACAAGTAAGATGATTTTTACTTTTATAACAAAAAAAACATTCATTAGAACTCGTAGATCATAGTGGATCACTAGTCTGATTTTCAAATAAAATAATCTTTTTCTACAAATTTTTTTCACAATTATTTTCTCTTGTACATATACTGTTTTATCATTTCAAGGTGCTCAGTACAAGGGTTAATAAAGAACAATAATAGTATAAATACGTTTTTAAATAGAAAGATTAATTTGTTTCGTGACTTTATTGTTATATTCATATTTTTCTATATTAAAAGCATCAAATGTGGCGTAAAAAAAAAAATGAGATAATGGAAGATAAAACTGGTATGTGACAATTACACTGCAAAATAAAACATAAAAGAAACAACAGAAAGAAACACATACCAAATAGTTTCAGCGCACAGTTCATTACATAGAATACTTAAAATAGAACTCTATTATTGTACGTCTCGTTCATCTGACAATAGGTTGTTAGCTAAGTTGTGATGCGCTCCGATGAACTGACATTTAGATTAATGTGTAAAATAATTTGATAGAAAATTAAAAACTATTAACATAAAGCTGACATTAACACGAAAACGAATGAAGTTTTATTTATAAAAAACAACAACAACACGAGTTAGTAAAAAATAAATATGATGTAAGAAAACTTATCGAAAATAGAGTTGTATTATTAAATGCCAAGACAAAAATATTTTGACTTATGTTGTTACTTAAACAGATTAAAAAAAAAGTAATATGAATATTCCAGATACATTTAGAAATTAGGTATTTATTAAATACAACTAATTATTTAAATAATTGGAAACTTTTGGGTTATTTTATTATTACTTACTAAGTAAGAGTGATGGTAACTCTAATACCCTTTCATATGAAGTCAAATATCAATTGATCAATCATTAAATAAATGAGCTTGCCTGCAACAAATAGAAAATTTAAATAAAAATCATCATTTTTATACTTCAATAGCATCATCCTTTCTCATTCTACAACTTGACTACTAATTTTATTCTCAAAAGAGAGCTCATTATCACTGATAAGTTTTGGCAATAAACTTTCTACAATCATTTCCATAATCAGAATTTCGTTGTTGATGAGATTGTTCAATATTTTTATCTGACTTCAAAATGCTTGAAGTGTAACCACGAAATACCATATTGGCTAGAACACCACCAGATGATGTTGATGGTAAAACTGGTTTTCTAGCAGGAATTGGTGGAACAGTCGATTTTGTTCTTAGAGATCTATCTGTTCGATTTTCTTTTGATGGTAAAATATCTGTTCGTATTGGTGATTGTTTAATTAATGAGTTAATTGTTGAAGAAGAATCATTAGAATGAATAGATATTTCATCATATTCTTGAAACTTGTATTTTTTTGGAAACAAAAGTAGCGGTTCATGAAGTGATTGTTGAAATGTTGGCATTGAATCTTGAACATGAGCGGGAATAAACAGAAAATGAACACATGGACCTCGTTGATTCAATTCTGATAATGGTGTACGATTCGATTTTTGTGAGGATGACGCTGGTGACGGAGATTTTCGAATAGGAACTGTTTTTGTTGATGATATGTCATGAATTTTATTTAATTGATATAATCGTAATGCCACAGTTTCCAAACGATCACGATACTCTAAATCCTAAAAAAAAATAATACAACATTAAACTGTTACAATTGTAAGAAAATTAATTTTTTAATATGACCTTGTAGTTTCGTTCAGGAACATTTTGAAAACCATAAACAGCTCCATACAGAGCACAAGCAATTGCACCTGTTGCATCTCCATGTCCACCGTGTAATGCGCCTCGCAAAACTAATTCTGACCATGAGCCATCACAAGATAATAATGCATCATAACTATCGTAAGACATATCAGTCATAGACAAAGAAAATTGGTATATTCATCACTTACGCAATAGCCACAGAATCCGTTCCACTTGCTCCTGCCCATCCCGCATGCGACAATTCTCTGTAGAAGATGTCTCGTTCTTCAACATCATATTTTTCGGGAAAATGTGGTAAATGATTTCCATTGATAATACGTCGTTCTTGTAAATACTGTCTCCAAAATGTTTCAAACATAGTCCTAAACATATTAGTTATAACGTATCAAATATTAACATAAAACAAATTTAGATTTGTCTCACCATGTTCTCATATTTTGTTCTAAGTCATTTCGTTTCAATGACTGAATATACTCTTTAATATAAGGTAATAAATCCAATAAACATTTTCCCCAACTATAAATTGGTTTTTGTTGTAACGCAAATGAAGTGAACAGTGCAGTTGTTAGACCACTTAAATAACCGTTCGTGTGGGTATGTGTCATACGTGATGTTTCAATCGATACACTAATTAATTGATTTAAATTATTAGGATGAAAATAGCGAAGACCAATGCACATACAGCGAACAGCCGCAGTACAATCATGAGAACTATAAAATGTAAAATAAGTCAGAATTAAAATAAAATTCAATAATAATTTATCATATCACTTTTTATTTGCAACTTACATAGCCGAATATTGAATATGCCAACCATTTTCTCTCTCTGCTGATAACCGTTCAATAGCGGTCATTGTTGTTGAACCTAATAAGAAATGACAAAATACTCTTTCATTTTTTGAGACAATATCATCGATTTTTCTTACTTGGATGACGATTTTTCATGTCAGATACGGCTAATTTTAACTTTTTTACCGTTCTCGTATATAACGATGGGTCTGGATTTTGATCACCATGGTCACCCAATGCTAGTAGATAGAAACAAATTCCACTTATAATACGAAAACATTACTGTTATTTATTCAATACCTTCTGCTATGGCCAAATGTAAAATTGTATCATCACTAACTCGCCATTTTGACACTAAACATGAGTATAAGAATATATTCAATTTATTTAAATAGAATTTTAACATACATACGTTCGAAGTGAATGGCATTAACATTTCCGAATGTTTGTTCTAACTCATGATGAATTGATGATCCATTATTGTTAAATTCCCATTTTCCATCTCGATATCTGAAAAAACAACAGCAAAACTTCATGAACATTATATACAGCTAGAATAATAAAATAGCTTACCCCAGGGCATCACCAACGCCACCTAATATCATACATGCTTTGTAACGTTGTACGAGATCAACAGGCATTTTCTGCAAGCGAATCTTAATGCTATATCTAGATATCTACGGCGCAATAAATTAATCTAAACTACAGTTAAGCATTAAAGCGTCAATTGTTAGCCAGTTATTTTAATCTATTAGATACTATAAGTATGAGTATATCTTAGAAGAAGATCACTTCTGCTCACCTATATAAAAGCTATAACTCATACAATCATTTCGAATCGAAATTGAAAAGAAAAAAGTTAAAAATCTATTCTCCAAACGATAAGATCAAGCGAAGCAAACTGAGATAATAAAATTAAAATGGATCAAGCAGATAAATGTGCATTTGTTGTTTCTTTTTGTCTGTTGACATAAAAGAATAAGTACTCCAAAAAGTTAATAGTAGAATAAAATTTAATATACCCCATGAACACATTATACTAAATAAATATCAGAGAGCAATGTTGTTTCAACATCACCACTTACACCACTAAAATTTGTTTACGGTTAACTTTAAAAAACTTCCACTATTACAATCAACAGTTTAGTGTTATTGTTAGTTAAAGTGAAGTTTTCAATATAAAAAAATAAAACGAATGTTCTCTGAACATTTCTAATTGAAAGAAACCTTTATAAAATGAATCAACTTATTGTATATACACAAGTTTTACTGATTTCATATATTTAGCTATGTACAGCAGAGAGCATGGCTATACAATGATGTATAATTTTTTTGCAGATATATACAACATCTCAGTCATTTATATTTTGTCTTTTAACTAGATTAACAACTGCCCAGTGTACACGAAGATTTTTCAATAGTTTGGTACACAGTGACTAGTTGAAGAAAATATGATACTTAACATAATTACTATTTACAAATATAATAAAGTTTTTTCTAATAACGACAGTAGTCAAACATCATAATTTGATTTATGAGTATACACTTATTAAGACGAGAGAGAGAGAGAGAGAGAAGGGAGAGAGAGAGAGAAGTAATAATCCTCTGAAATATTTAGATCACATAGTGTCTCTTTACTTTTCCATTCTTTACTACTAATAATTATTCTAGGATAGTAAATCAAAGCATAAGGTATTCAGTTTTTAGATAAATTTCAATATAGTTCAAGGAAAAGAATGGTCACTCTAAACGTATTGGATACGAAAAAAAAGGAATAGTCTCTCTTTAAGAATGTCTATTTACATCGGCATTGGATTTGAACAGAAACATAATTTTCAGTTTAAACATCATTGTAACATCTCTATTTGGGATTAAAAATCGATTAATCGTTTCGTCTCCTCCTTATCTTAATGAAAAATGAAAGTTTTTCATGAAAATCCCGCCTGAATGAGATACATAATGGCGAAAGAGAGATAAAAAAAAATAGATAATGTGAATAGCAACTGTTTCATTGGATCAAAGCAGTCGAATCAAGGAAGAAGATGCAAAAAGATAAATATTGTTTATGTTGAAGTTGAAAGCATTTGTTAGTCGCGCGCATTTTTAGCATTTTTCCCGTTTAAGTTCTATTTCAATCTCTTACTAACTGTCAATCTGTTTCAATCAACAGCCTTATTGGTATTTATTATTTCTTAAATAAACTTCTTTTCTCCACTTGTCAGATTTTTTAAATTTTGTATCCGATTTTCAGAAAATAGTGGAATATTGAGGTGCAAAAATGATAGAAAGAGGATTGATCAGAAACAGAGTATCCATATAGTACTAGAATTACATAATGACTATGAAATCTATCTTTCAATCAACTATGTGTAGTTTATTTCATTTAATGATTTTTCTAAAATATATGTCAATGTCTGATTCACGCTTATCTTGATTTCATCTGGATCAATGTCACAATAGCCTAATTTAACAAGTATGAGCGAAGAGTCTAACAAGGATGATAACAAGAATGCGTTCTATCTGTGTGAAACTCACATCAATGTGACATTGGTCGGAATCAGACATGGCCACTAACATATACATCTAACTGTTTCTAACTTGGTAATAAATTATAAAAAAAAAGAGACTAGCATGCTAAATTAAAGAATCACGAGACTAAAGGATAACATTAAGATGATCTTTTGAAAATCTGGATTCTTCTATTCTTCATTCAGTTGTAGTTTTTTGTTTTTATTGACTCCTTCAATTGTTTGTATGAGACTAGTTGGAGCATCTAGTTTTGGCATAATAACTTCGATAAAATGTATTTTATCATCTTCTTTTCTCACTTGTTCCATTACTTTTTCAAAATCTTTTCTTGTTGACACTTGTCCCGTATAACCAATTGACGCTTGCTCTGTATTTTGTTTTATTCCGGCACCAAAATATTCAAATGTTTTGTGATAGTTCCACATTTGAATTGAATTATAAGCACGATCAGGGCCATGAATCAACTTCTCAATTGTGTAGCCATCATTATTTAATAAAATGATAACCGGAGTTACGTTAGAACGAAGCATTGATGATACCTCTTGGCACACAACCTGAAATGAACCATCGCCAACAAATAAAAATACACGACGTTTTTCTTTTTTCGAGCCAGCTAAAATAATTAATAATGACACACATTAATAAGAAGTCGGTTTACCAGAAATTGAACAAAGACAGATTCTAATAACATGGAGTACAAACAAGTCACTAAAATACTCAATAATTGGAGAACTTACTTGCTGCACCCAGACAGGCTCCAACACTATAACCAATTGAACCCCTTAAAATATAAACAAACAATGCAAATTTTGCCTGTTTTAATCAAATCAAAAATATAAAAAATTACCATAATATTTGTGTTAAAAATACTGAGCCATTCGGAGCTTTGAGATTAAAAATACCAAATTCTGAGGTACCAGTTTCTGCTACGATGATGGAATTTTCTGGCATAAAATCGGGTACTTTTTTCCAAAAATAGTCGTGCAATATTTCTTGATTATTATCACTAGGAGGAGCAGCAGGAGGAACTATCGGTTTCATACTGTACTTTTTTATTCTTTCTGTTGGCCATCTCTTTGTTAAATCAGGCAATAATTGTTTCATATTAACTTTATCGTAAACGGCATAAAATACTTTTGTAGCAAATGAATGAAGCTCAACTGAAGTAAAAAAAATGAATCAAGTAGCGAATAAAAACTTGATCATTGAGTAAACATACTTGTTTTCTTTTGTTTAAGATGAAATGTAAATCCACCAGTGTTAAAGTCGCAATTTAAACTTCCAACACTAATAATGATATCTGCATTGTGTATTTCTTCAGCCACTTGTTCGTACGAACAATCACCAGCATACACACCACGAAATTGAGGATGATGTTCGTCAATGCCTCCTTTGCCCATTGGAGTAACATAAACTGGCAGTTGTGCGTGTTCAACAAATTTTAAGACTTCTTTTTGTACCTGGTGACGAAGTGTACATGCATCGACTACGACAACAATTGATTCAGCTTTTTCTGTTACATTGAGTATGGCTGTAATAGCTGCTTCATGTTCTTCTGGTGGATTGAGTGGTATTTTTAAATCAAGTGGTTTTATTTGATCCGAATCAATATTTAGTTCAAAAGTATTTAAGTCGACAGGTAACGAAATGTAAACTGCAAGAAAACATTTTTTAATAGCAAGAAATCGTTAGAACTGTCATACGCATTTTCACCTGGTCTGACGCTGATTACACACTTTTTTAACACACGATCAATTTCTTCGGCTGCATTGTGTTTGTTTAAATCAGCTTGCGCAATCTGAACAAATCATAGAATTTTAATAAAAAATAAAGAAGTATGTCAAATCAACTTACTGTTACTTCTTTATACATTTTAGCAAATACACGAAAATCTCCATTTCCTAATGTATGATGTAATAGAGCGCCTTTTGCTTGTGAAGCTGTGGCTGGTGTACCCACAATATGCACAACAGGAACCATTTCAGAGAAGGAACCAGCAACTCCATTGATAGCCGACAGTTCACCCACTCCGAAGGTCGTTAAAAGTGCCTGAAGAACAAGAGAAATATATTCCATTAAGCGGATATTTATTTAAGATAAACAAATACTTACTCCTACTCCTTTTATTCGAGCATAGCCGTCAGCTGCATAAGCAGCATTCAGCTCATTACAATTGTTGCCCCATTTAATACCATCAAAATCTAAAAGAAAATATAGAAATAGAATACCAGGAAATATATAAGTCTAAATATTTTAATATAAATAAGAGCATAATTGACACCGTTTTTATCATTTTATTAGAGACGTTTCGTTATGAACTCATAATAACAAGACGAAAGAGTACAAATATAGACAATACAAAGAGAGAGACAAGGACACAAATTAGACGAGAACGTTTTCTTTTAATCATTAATTTTCGCCCCCCAAACTTATTGACTTTTTGTAATCAAAATACATTTAATATGAAACTCTTCTGTGAATACATCTGTTTGCCTTTCTTATGTCTGTACCAATCCATAAGTAAACTTTCTTTAATATTTCGTTTTAAGTCATTCAACTCTATCGCTAAGATGTTTGTATTCCAATTATTATTGTAATTTTTATTAAGGCAATGTTCTGCAATTTTGGAGTATCCCATGCCTTTAAGAGCTTTCGTCTTTCCGAACTTCTGCACCTTTCGCTGTCTGACCAATATAATATCCATCACAATCATAACATGAATAACCATATACTATTCGCTTATTATCATTACTACAACGATAGGTTCTGCTAAACAATGAAGAGATTCTATTTCCAGTCTTAAATCCAAATATAATGTGTTGTGGAAATTTGTAATATTTTCCGAATCTTATTTGCTAACACTATAGAACACATTCACCGTAATAAGGAAAAGGAATAAATAATTTTTGAATATTCAGACCGGATTGTTTCTTATTAATACTTAATTCAATACTACGAATAGTTTTCTTAACAACATTACGTGGATATTCATTGGCAATAAAAATCTTTTTGTAATATTCTAACTGTTGTTTAAATAGACTATCCGATGAGCAAATTCTTTTTGCACGAAAGCATAGGCATTTAATTAAATTAATTTTATAATTGCGGGGTTGATTACTTGTCCATCTGAGATATAGACCAGTGTCGGTGGGTTTTCTATAAACATATGTAATTAATTCTGAATCTTTTAACAACAGTTCTTTTAACCATAGAACTGTAGTTAGTTATTCACAGAAGAGTTTCATATTAAATGTATTTTGATTACAAAAAGACAATAAGTTTGGGGGGGCGAAAATTAATGATTAAAAGAAAACGTTCTCGTCTAATTTGTGTTCTTGTCTCTCTCTTTGTATTGTCTATATTTATACTCTTTCGTCTTGTTTGTTCATTCATTTCATTTTTCGACTGATGATGTTATGAGTTCATAACGAAACGTCTCTAATAAAATGATAAAAACGATGTCAATTATTCTATATTTATTTATATTTAAATGTTTTCACCGTATAAACAAAAGAAAGTCTACTAAATACTTTACCTTCAATTTGATCCAAGAAAGGCTAGAATAAATGAAATAGTAAATATTAATTTATAGGTGCTAGGTGTGTCATCTATACTACTTGCTCAACTTTTTAAAGAGATTTAATAGGGATTAGATGAATAAACAGAAAGAAAATTAAGTCATTAAAGTACAAAACTCTCATTTATCTAACTCGTTAAACTCCTTTACTGCTTTAAGAACTTATCCACTTGCAAAGAAGAGAGCCATGTCGTCAAGAGTGTTCGTATCCCACCTCCTGTGAGCGGGTTTTCTCCACAAACAGTCTCTTCTTCCTTCTTTCATTCAACTGTTACTGACTGGAATAATCTTCCAGAATCAGTCGTTCGTTTTTCTTCGATATTGTCA